TTTCAGCTCTATATTTCTTTGTGGCCCCACATCTATAATGTATTACAGTTTGGAAGTAACTTGCACAACACTGCCCGCGAAACATACCAATTTGAAAAACTGATGGAATGCATGGTCCATATAAAAAACTGAATGACGAGTAATTTCTTACTGCTAAATTCTGAAAAAAAACAGAGGTGTTAATTATAAGACCTAAAAACTCTGCATGTAATAACCTAGAACACTGTCTAAGACTCGATGGCTGCTCTGTCAATTCTTCATCATCAATTAGGAACCTAGGTGTGCTATTTGATAGCAATCTTTCCTTTGAAAGCCACGTTTCTAGCATTTGTAAAACTGCATTTTTCCATCTCAAAAATATATCTTAATTACGACCTATGCTCTCCATGTCAAATGCAGAAATGTTAATTCATGGATTCATAACCTCAAGGTTAGATTATTGTAATGCTTTATTTGGTGGTTGTTCTGCATGCTTAATAAACAAACTGCAGCTGGTCCGAAATGCAGCAGCTAGAGTTCTTACTAGAACCAGGAAGTATGACCATATTAGCCCGGTTCTGTCAACACTGCACTGGCTCTCTATTAAACATCGTATAGATTTTAAAATATTGCTTATTACTTATAAATCCCTGAATGGTTTAGCACCTCAGTATTTGAACGAGCTCTTATTGCATTATAGTCCTCCACGTCCGCTGCGTTCTCAAAACTCTGGCAATTTGATAGAATATCAAAATCAACTGCGGGCGGCAGATCCTTTTCCGATTTAGCGCCCAAACTCTGGAATAACCTACTTAACATTGCCCGGGAGGCAGACACACTCTGTCAGTTTAAATCTAGATTAAAGACCCATCTCTTTAACCTGGCTTACACATAACACACTAACGGATTTGAATATTAGAAATGTGTTAAAGGATTTTTAGGCTGCATTAATTAGGACAATCGGAACCAGGAACAGTTCCCGTAACACCCGATGCACTTGCTACATCGTTAGAAAAATGGAATCTACGCTAATATTAGTCGGTTTCTTTCTTATTCCGAGGTCACCAGATGAAATGGTCACTGCAGTCATCCGGATCCAGTACGTATCCAGCCCAGATGGTGGATCAGCACCTAGAGAGGACCTCTACAGCCCTGAATGTCAGCGGAAATCAGGACAACTAAATGAGCCCCAGAGACAGACCCCCAGTAAAGACCTTGTCTCCTAGACGGCCACCGGGACAAGACCACAGGAACCAGTCGAGTCCTCTGCTCAATGTGACTTTGCTGCAGCCTGGAATTGAACTGCTGGTTTTGTCTGGTCAGAGGAGAACTGGCCCCCCGACTGAGCCTGGTTTCTCCCATGGTTTTTTCTCCATTCTGTCGCCGATGGAGTTTTGGTTCCTTGCCGCTGTCGCCTCTGGCTTGCTTAGTAGGGGGCACTTAATTTCCAGTGATATCGTCGACTTGATTGCAGATACCATTTAAACTGAACTGAGCTGGATGATGACATATTTGAATTCAATGATGAACTGCCTTTTTGCATTATTGACACTATTTTCATATTTAATGCTGTACAGTTGCTTTGACACAATCTGTATTGTTAAAAGTGCTATATAAATAAAGGTGACTTGACCCCACCAGCCTCATATGCACTGTGCTCTATCCAACGTGATCTCATGAAAATTCGTATGTATTTTATGTAAAATGTGGTTCTATAAAACGTACATTTACGTACGTTTTTACAGGCACTAAACAATACTGACGTATTTTCAGCCTCTAAACGTACAAATACTTACGTTTTTTCAGCATTTAAACGTACAAAACTGACGTATTGACGACACCTAAAAATAAATCCTTATGAATATTGAAATCGCGGCATTAATTTTATTAGTTTTTAGTAGTCATATGAATGACCTTGTTTCCAATTGCATGATTAAATTGTTTACTCATTTACTTATGAAATGATAACATTTAATTTTGTTGTGATTTCTGCTGCCAGGTCGTTTCCAAGAATATGCCTACATAATGTTAAACACGACTTCACTTTAAACCTTAAAATAAATAACATTTCTGCAATCATTTAACCTTTACTTGTCATGTAATGTTTACTTTGATTGTCATGGGCCACAAAAGGCGTTTTCTCCGACATGCTGTGACTGACAATAAAACTATAAAATACACCAAAAACGCAACATAATTACGAAATGAAACAATTTTATTTGTGCGCTGTAATCTTCCGAATCCATACTACTGCGAGGAACAGACCCAAATCCAAACCTTTATTCGGCGATCTGCTTCTCCGTCCCGAGCAGCGAGTCCAGTGACCGTGAGCAGCAAAGCCCGCGCTGACTGAGTGACGCGCTCTTTACAAATTCAAACGTCGGCGCTTCAAACGACAGGATAATCAAACGCTCATTGGCTCTCGCCTGCCATCGTCACAGATTGCGACATGCCGTGTTTCTGGTGAGGCTCTGCTTCAGGGGCTGCATCAGGTGGCACTGCGCACGCAGGCGACGTCACTTCCTCAAGCCCCACCGGGATCTGTCGAGAGCAGGGGTGCCGTGTAAAAAAATATTTTTCAAATATTTTTAAATTGCTAAAATGTTCAAAAAAAGCAGCTATTATATACTATCAATTTCTAATGCCGCCAATAATTAGAGATGCACAGAAATTCCGGCTGCCGAAAATGAGTTCACCGCTCAGGATTCACTTGTGTGTGTGTGTGTGTGCGTGTGTGTATTATCCATAGACTGTATGGTATTATCCCGCTCTGTGTGTGTTATCCCGCTCTATGCGTGTGTGTGCTCCGCTCAGTCGCTCGTGGCCAATGTGACTGCTCCATTCATATACCGTTCATGCTCTAAAACTAGACTAAATGTCATCAGTTTTGGTCGACTAAAACTAGACTAAATGTCAGTTTTCGTAGACTAAAATGCTCAGACTAAAAAGAGTATGAACGTGATTAAAACTAATAAAAACTAAAATGACAGTTTCACACAAAGACTAGACTAAAACTAAAATTAAAACAGGCCGCCAAAAACAACACTACTGTCGAGTCGGCCGCGCAGATGACATGTTAATGCGGCGCATGCTCTGTAACACCACGCTGTCAGTTCGGTGGCGCTAGTAAACACGTCATCTACGCGGCCGACTCTACAGCGCAGAGAGGACATGTTAGCGCGGCGCAAGCTCTGTAACACCGCGCTGTCTCCTCCCACCTTTGGGTTGTTTGGGGCTTTCTTTAGTAATTTCGATTCAAGTCCATTTGCAAATTACCATGCTTAGAGACAAAGGGTCGTAAAACCCTCCAGCAATTGCCACCTCCCGCTTGGAATTTCCATCTTTCTCATTGGACAAGCCCATCTTGAAAGGCGGGGATCTTCTCCGACCTTAAAGGCCCTGCTCCAGGGACCCTCCCAGTCGGTGGTTTGTTTTAATTCTGAGAGGATGTAAGAAAAACGCTTCCGGAAACGCTAAGCTCGTGCCAAGCCTCGGCCTTGTCCTTTCAATTTCACCTAGATCCTCTGACTCAAACTGGTTCTTTCTCATCAACCAACTTCAGCAAGATCTTGGGCCTTAAGATTGCATCAGGAATCTATTTTCAGACAGACGAGACTTGCAAGTATCAAACTTAGTCTTATTAATAGATGCATTAAGTATCAGTTACACCTTTTTACAAAGGTGTGTTTGAACTAAGAATCTGACGTATCCCTCAGGTGTAGATCTGCTGAATATGCAAATGGTTCCATAAATGTCATTCCTTATGCCTCTTTCTGTACTGAGTTAAACTTTAACCCTTTCCTATACCAACTGTATGTGTGTGTGTATGTGTATGTTAGACCAGTTTATGTGTTTATGTAGTTAATAAAACCTTACTTGTATCACACTTGACCTCCATCCCCAGCATCAGCAGCACCACCTCCATCCCCAGCATCAGCAGCACCACCTCCATCCCCAGCATCAGCAGCACCACCTCCATCCCCAGCATCAGCAGCACCACCTCCATCCCCAGCATCAGCAGCACTATCTCCAGCATCAGCAGCACCACCTCCATCCCCAGCATCAGCAGCACTATCTCCAGCATCAGCAGCACCACCTCCATCCCCAGCATCAGCAGCACTATCTCCAGCATCAGCAGCACCACCTCCATCCCCAGCATCAGCAGCACTATCTCCAGCATCAGCAGCACCACCTCCATCCCCAGCATCAGCAGCACTATCTCCAGCATCAGCAGCACCACCTCCATCCCCAGCATCAGCAGCACCTCCTCCATCCCCAGCATCAGTCAACAAAAAGAGTATGTGTCCAGCAGCAAGTCAGGGTGACTTGCACACACTGTGGCATTAAAATAAATCAAAGGAACTTGCTGGTTCATATCAACCGAAGACACAGGCAAAGGGTAGCAGATATTACAGCAAAGCGACATCTATCATGCCAATGCATTGATGCCAAAAATGGCATCTTTGCAGTTAAGTAATTTTTTAAGCCATGCTCTCCTATACATGTAAAAAAAAAAAAGTGTGCATTATGAGCTTTCGATTGGTCCAATTCTCAAGGATGCACTGAAATTTTGGCCATCGAAAATGTTCAGCTGTAAATGTAAGTCACAAACTAACCAAACATCTCATGTTGTAGGGTGTTGTTGGTAGCCTTTTATCCAAACTTTGAAAGCAATTTTGAGGTCAAGTTTGCTGCACATCATCATACTGTGATAAGATGTTAAGTAATTACCTTTTACAATTGTAAAGTATTTTAAGATTAATAGATCAATTTTAGCTCAGTGTGTCCAGTTTCTTCAGTTTTGCTTTGGCCAAGAATTTTCTTCTTCTGTGCATCACCAATTTCTAATGTCATGTTCTTTTACAGATCCTCAAGCCAAAGTCAAGTGAGATTTTATTTTTTGACTCCATGAACCCTGAAGACTTTGGGCATAGGAGTTACATTCAGATTTTCAGGTTTTCACCTGAGGATAGCACAATTCAAGTTCTACTGTTCTGTGTTCATACTAATAACATGCATGTGTTTGGAGTTCATACTAACACAAATACATGTCTGTGTTCTTATGTAAACCATTTTAAATGAACTGATTATAACATTTTATTTTTTTACAGGTGTGAAGAGTGATGGAATAGTACTTTCATTCGACTTCATGAACTGAAATGTGTCGCGCATTATGAAATGTATGGTGGATCTGTTTTGAGCTCACACTTTAATGTTTCAGCCAGTTATGGTTTTCAGTATTGTATAATTATAATTCAATCATAGTAAAACCAAACCCCTGGCTCTAACATAAAGCTCTAACATTTTTATTGCAATATGATCAGTTATGTTATTGTTTACATGTGACTGCTCGTAAATATAGATTTTTTTAAATTGTTGTATTACTTTAGAAATCTGGCCAATCACATTTCTCCCAGCCATTGGAACATGTCTGTACTGACAGATTTTGAGATACAGCTTTTAACTTCTTTGCTTGTGAAATTTTCATATCTGTAGTGGAGTGTTAAGAAAGAATGCAGTACACAGTTGTCACAAATAACCCACTATGGGTGAATTGAGTAAACCAAGTGCACTTAAACAAACCAAAAAAAAATCACCGGACGTAATGGTAATGCATTTATTGTATATGGTCTAATTGTATATTGTCTATAATTAACAGGGTGCCCCTCTTCAGCTAGGAGGAATTGATTGCGGGGTATTCATGTTGAGGGTAGGTGGTTTTATAATTGCTGTACAGCTGTGTCTGTGTGCTAAACACCGCATTTGTTAATATAGTTTTGTTTTTGTTTTTAAGTATGCACTCCATGTTACGCTCTCAAAGCCATTTGATTTTGCTGTGGTGAGTTTGCATCAATTTATGATTATTTGTAAAGCAAAAAGGACTTCTTTCAACAACAAAAAAAAAAGACTAAGATTTTCAATTGCTATCTTTTATCAGTCTGACATGCCTATAATCAGGAAGTGGTGGTGCTATCAGTTAATTCAGACATTTCCTCTGACAAGGTATATTGATAAGTATACTTTAGATTAAAACCTCCATACTGAACATTTCCAGTATGCAGGCAATACAGGTGCATCTCAATAAATTAGAATGTCGTGGAAAAGTTCATTTATTTCAGTAATTCAACTCAAATTGTGATACTTGTGTATTAAATAAATTCAATGCACACAGACTGAAGTAGTTTAAGTCTTTGGTTCTTTTAATTGTGATGATTTTGGCTCACATTTAACAAAAACCCACCATTCACTATCTCAACAAATTAGAATACTTCATAAGACCAATAAAAAAAATTTTTTTTAGTGAATTGTTGGCCTTCTGGAAAGTATGTTCATTTACTGTACATGTATTCAATACTTGGTAGGGGCTCCTTTTGCTTTAATTACTGCCTCAATTCGGCGTGGCATGGATGTGATCAGTTTGTGGCACTGCTGAGGTGGTATGGAAGCCCAGGTTTCTTTGACAGTGGCCTTCAGCTCATCTGCATTTTTTGGTCTCTTGTTTCTCATTTTCCTCTTGACAATACCCCATAGAGAATCTTTGAATCTTCAGGTCTGCTGAGTTTGCTGGCCAGTCAAGCACACCAACACCATGGTCATTTAACCAACTTTTGGTGCTTTTGGCAGTGTGGGCAGGTGCCAAATCCTGCTGGAAAATGAAATCAGCATCTTCAAAAAGCTGGTCAGCAGAAGGAAGCATGAAGTGCTCCAAAATTTCTTGGTAAACAGGTGCAGTGACGCTGGCTTTCAAAAAACATAATGGACCAACACCAGCAGATGACATTGCACCCCAAATCATCACTGTGAGCCAAAATCATCACAATTAAAAGAACCAAAGACTTAAACTACTTCAGTCTGTGTGCATTGAATTTATTTAATACACGAGTTTCACAATTTGAGTTGAATTACTGAAATAAATGAACTTTTCCACAACATTCTAATTTATTGAGATGCACCTGTATACAAAAAATAAAGCAATGCATGTCTAAAACATTGTTATGTTTGTCACTTCCCACAGTCAAGTCCAACAACTAGTCACCCAGGAACAAGAACTACCAAATCCAGAAGACATGGAAGTCACTCCACCTGAGTCAGAAATCATGGAGATCACCCCAACACCAGGAATCTATGTAGAGGGAATGCTTATGTATTGCTTGATTTGGTTATGTATTTAACTTTCCTGTTTCATAAAGGTGTTTATGAGCAGCATTTATTAATTACATTATTATTGGAATTCTTATATTGCACACAGGACTCAGCTGTGATGAAAAACATTCAGCTGGCCTGTAAGTGGGTGGAGGAGAACCAACACCACTTTGCTGGGAAGATTGAACTGCCAAAGATCTTAAGGATGAAGGAGGATGATGCCTTGTTGGCTATCGCAATGCGAGACTTGTTCATAAACACCATGTTTTATGAAGGTGAAAGGGATGAAGAACAAATTCGGGCTCCCTTCCTTTTCACTTTTCAGAGAGTAGAGGACAAGGAATTATTCTTGCAGGAAATACGAGACAAAAGAGATATCAGTGTGTCTTGTTTACACAACCCTAATTTGTGAATCTACCAGTGGGTTACTGTTACTATAATGTCAATATTGATTTTTGTTTTGTAAAATTTCATTAATATTTTGTGTGAAAAGAAGTGTTGTGTTCTTGAAATATATTTATGATATTTATTTTTTTATATCTTGCTATACCATTAAAATTTTGTGTGAAAGAAGTGTTGTGTTCTTGAAATATATTTATGATATTATTTTTATGACTTCTTATTATGACATTTTATCTAGATTTAAGATTTATTTTATGTTTAGATGCACATTTAGCTAAATTGGGGTAATAGAAACAAATAAATCCAGTGCATCACTTGTAGGACTGGAGTATGTGACTATTAAATTACATCTATCTTATCCCAAATGTTGCAGAGGATGCCTCACTAATCTCAGAGCATGAAGGTTGAGTCTATCGAAAATTACAGTCAATATTCCATTTAAATTTACAATATAATAAAAAAAATGACAACCAGCCTGTTGGAGTTCATGCATTCACATATACATACAAAAATGGGCAGATTACATAAATGAGTCTAACTTTATTATTTATTACAATTAATCAGATGATTTAGTTTAGTTCATAAATAACCCACACGTTAATGTGGTGGCCAAAAATTAAAGAGGGGTGCACAGATAGTAAGCTTTCACATTGCCTGCTAAGTCTAGTAATTTACATAATCATATAGCATATAGCATCCAAAGCAACTTCAAAAGTGAGGAAACTATTCTGAGAAAATAATATGACAAGTTTACATAGATACAAAGTTTTAAAAGGTGTTAGAAACACACATATATAGTGTGAGTAATGTTCTTAGCAAGTATTTACGTAATACAGTGGGATATGGAATTGTACATGCTATTTGTTGGCAGGAAGAGACAGCGCCAATTTGTAAAGGCTAATAAAGAATACAATGGACTCAATATAAACTTTATGATACAAACACTCTGACTACTTACAATGGGCACAATCTGCATGAGAGTTGAGGCAATGGCCAATGACAGCAGGAGTAAAAGCCGTAGAATTTTTGCACGAGTACACTTGTACAATATCATATGAATTTGCTGAAATTGTATGAAAATTACTACTTTGACGTAGCACAGGGTTTGTACTGATGGGGTCATGGGGTATGTAAAAAAGTTTAAGAAACAACAAATGGGGTGCAAAATGTAACTGCAGTAAAGTTCAGTCAAGGTGCTCAGACCAACACAGACGTACCATTGCAAATGTTTGCCTTTGCAGCTTTTGGTCTTCTCCGTAAATGCACAAGATGGTTAAAGTCATCCCTCTCCACAAACAAGACGGGTTTGTCAAGAGTTTGACAGGCCCTCCTTTGGTCTTCCTTTTCAGCTGAAATAAAGAAAAAATAAAATGTTGTTGTTGTTTTAATACATACATGTTGAGAAAGTATATTTGACAAAATATTTGAAAGGAAGGACTATAAGGAAGGTTATTAACACATAAAGTAAGGATAAATTAATTAAAGTAAGTTAGTTACAACTAAATGTCTTCAACATTACCAGTGAAGTGTTGACCCTTTGAAGGACTTCAGATTCCCTGGCAACTTCTTCAAGTTCAGCATTGAGCTTCGAGTTCAAGTTCCCTGTTAATACTAGCAGCTTCCTGACATTACTAATCAAATTTTGATTCTGAGCTTTGAAAATATGCCATGATGAACAAGAGAAAGGAAGAAAGAAAAATATGTGTAACTGAATTATGAATCACAGTTAAGAAACATAGGCAAGGAAAATCTGAGAGAGAGAGAGAGAGAGAGAGAGAGAGAGAGTAATGGCTTCATAAAGAGCTATAAATGATTTACCTTACAAATCTGATGAAATGGCGCACGTTGCGATCCCAGATGAACGTTATAATAAACCGAAACTCACAACAACATGCAGAGATGGAGTTTGAGATGCTCCACACATGTAAATGATAACAGTTCCTGTGGAACTACTGTCAACGGAGCCGCTGTGTGACGCATGTACTTAACCTACACGCATGTAAATAATTAAAGCGCATATGGTATTAGCATGGCATTGCATATAATTATTTAATTAACTCTTAGCATTTGTGAATTCACAATTATGCTTAATTATGATTTTTAAATTGGTTTAATATATCATGCAGCCTTGGGAAACAGTCTAATAATGTGTTTTATGGGTTCTCGTCCGTGAAATGCGCCACTTTCAGATTTTACCGGTTAGTCGACGCAAGCAAAATGAAGTCGAGGATTTTTAAAAATCGAATAGTCGAGTAAAATAGACAAATCACGACAGCCCTACTTCCAGCTAACATTAGAACTTACTAGTTTTCAAAACAGTGGCTATGAAACATGCATCATTCGTGTGAGCATTTCAATAACCATAAAACAGGAATACTGTAGCAAACCTTGTGTTAATCTAGAATCTTAACAAGTAACATATCCTTGTCTTCCTCCATTTTTGTCAGGTTTTCCTCGGGGACACCCCTCTCTCTCAATGCAGAGATAAAGTCCATATTTTCTGCAGGAAATTAGTAACTTTATGATGGAGATTTCAGCTGCCAGCGCATACACCATGATATTCGCCAGATGCATTCACAAGGTTTTCTTGCAATAGCTACAATTAGGTCGTGGGAAAACTGGTTTTACGTAGAGATAACGAGAAAACAACTCTTGTTATGTCGAGATCACAAGAAAACAACTTTTGTTATGTCAAGAAAATTAAGTCTTGATAAGGAGAAAACAACTCTCGTTATGTCGAGATCACAAGAAAATAAAGTCGTGATCACGAGAAAACAAGAAAGAAAAAAATGATAATAATACATGGCCGCTTAGAACTTCCATAGAGATGAAAGAATAATTGAATTAAAAAATTAGAATGATTAGTAATTGTCTCTAATTGGCCTGATTAGCTAAACCCGCAAAACACTTCTTATTTAGTGGTACAGTATTGCATGATTTATGGATTATATTTAATAGTTTTGCATAAACATTTGCAATTATATTATAATTAATGAAGCTCTCTACACTGCACACAGAATCTATTATTTACATCGTGTCTACACTTTGTTATAAAGCGAGGATATGAGCTTGAATGACTCAGCACTGAACAAAAACTGCAGTCTGCTTTCACGATCTGTGCTGCGAGGAGCAGGACATGCACTGAAATAGAAGCCAATTTCCATTGGCTGCTAATTTGCTACCTATTAGATTGTGTTTTATTAACGTCTACGCCTACTAATTGGCCTGATTAGCTAAACCCGCAAAACACTTCTTATTTAGTGGTACAGTATTGCATGATTTATGGATTATATTTAATAGTTTTGCATAAACATTTGCAATTATATTATAATTAATGAAGCTCTCTACACTGCACACAGAATCTATTATTTACATCGTGTCTACACTTTGTTATAAAGCGAGGATATGAGCTTGAATGACTCAGCACTGAACAAAAACTGCAGTCTGCTTTCACGATCTGTGCTGCGAGGAGCAGGACATGCACTGAAATAGAAGCCAATTTCCATTGGCTGCTAATTTGCTACCTATTAGATTGTGTTTTATTAACGTCTACGCCTACCCAACCCTAAACCTATCCCTTACAATAATGCAAATACACCCAGCAAGCAATTTTGCTTTTAAAAGACGTCTATTAGACGTCTAAATATAGCCTAGAGCAGTATTTCCCAACCGGGGTGCCGTCTGTCGAGAGCAGGGCTGCAGTGTAAAAAAATCCTTTTTTAATATTTTTAAATTGCTAAAATGTTCAAAAAAAGCATCTATTATATAATATCCATTTCTGATGTCGAGATAATTAGAGATGCACCGAAATTTCGGCTGCCGAAAATTAGTTCACCGGTCAGGTTTCACTTTCACGTGGTGTGACAGAGTGCAGAGCGCGTATTATCCCGCTCTATGCGTGTGCGCTCTGCTCAACTCCAATTATATATCGTTCATGCTCATCGGAACAGCAAAGTTCACTCAAAAATTGAGCCGACAGGAAACATCGATAGTACAGTATTGTTTCTGTCTGCAATAGCTCTACTGTGTTGTAACAAGGTGTGGTAAATGGGCAACTCTGGTATCACTGCCCTCTCATTCATTGATCTGCTAAACGCTATGTTATGCTCAGGTGTTCTGATAATAATAGCTTTCTAGGACTAAACATTATTTGCATAATTGGTAAAACATTTTTTAAAATATCTTAACCCTACTGTTAGACTTACCTAAAAAAAACTAAAAAGTTATTTATTTAATTCGAAGGCCTGTCGTTATTTCTTATTTGTGCTATCATTATCATTATAACTAGCTATCTCACAATGTTTACATATGAATAAAAGCCTACATTAAAATCTGTCATATAAACTGGTCTCTTCATTAGAAATTAGCCTACTGACTGCCACCATTGATGGACAATTTTTTTTAAATAATATAAAAAATATCTATATGACATTATATTCTGCAGTTCGTCCCTGTTGTACCGAATATCTATACAAATTAGATAGATAGATAGATAGATAGATAGATAGATAGATAGATAGATAGATAGATGATAATGCAAAATATTTTTTGATAACTGGACAGCATATGTATTGTGTAAGTAGTATAAATCCCTTTATTGATTAAGTGAATAGATTGACACTGGACCTGTGTAGCCACACCCCAGCAAGCAATTTTGCGTTTAAAAGACATATAAACATAGCCTAGACGTCTAGGCTAAAACGAGGCTAAATTTGGGCTGTCAGTGAAAATCTAATAGATGTCAAATCATAGCCCAAGAATAGACTAGTCATCAAATAGACCGCTATTAAATACATCTAATAGACAACAAAATGGCAATCCATACATACAGCTTTTATTAAGAAAAATAAAATTTTTAACAACTTGGACAACTTAAGACAATACAAAATGATAAAAATACAAAAGAATTAATGACAATATAAAATGTTATAAATACAATACACTTAGGCTAAATATAAATATCATGAAAAAAATTGGAGTTTTTAACAACTTAAGATAAAAATATAAACA